AATTTCCATGCCAGTGCCCTTTCTAAAGCAGCTTCTGAGAGGATCCTTCTTTCAGTGCAGCCCTGCAGAGAAGTGTGGTACTTACATGTTACAAGGTAGAGCAGTTTTTAAAGTTATGATCTATCCCACTGGTGGAGACTAAGAAAATCTGGTGCAAATATCTCAATAATTACTGTGGAACATTGAAATATTCCCCTTCCAGCTTCCAGTAATAAAACTTAAGTAAAAGGTTGTCTCAGTAATTTTCTACCACTTTGTCCTGTTTTAACCTGATTACCATCTGCCAGTACTTTATAGAGACAGAGGAGCAAGCAGAGTGCCACAAAGGATTACTGATGTCTCTTCTTCTCACTTTCTTAATTGTCCTGCACACATTTTCCCTCCTTTAGTCCTCTACATAAGTGAGAAGCTATTCCTGTGATCCTGCAATGGAATCTGTGATTCTGCTGCTACACGGCTTGAGACTTGGGTGCTCAGGCTTAGTATGAAGAGGGGAAAATGGGTAATAATGGCTCCAGACACATAGCTGGGTCAGTCTGGCTTGTGCAGTGAAGGGTGTAAGGGCAGTGGATCTCTTGAGGAGGAAAGGCAATTGAAAAAGCAGTTTTTTTCAGAATAAAATATGCTCATATGGAAAGTTTATGTAAGCTACCAGTGCAAACATTGGAAAGTCCAAAGTTTGGATTTCGTGCATGTAGCACTGACTTATCATCAATCCCCTAGTTTTGCTTCCTGTTCCTAATTGATTTTTGTTCCTTTTTCTGCTAGTTACACCCTCCTCAGTTGCATGTCTTTTCTTAAAGAATGTAATTGCATCGATATGTTGTCATTCAGGAAAAAAATCTCAGTACAAGGAAAATACTTCTGTTCAAAATAGTATTTGGAACCCCAGAGGTTAAGAAAATCTTCTTGCCATAAAAATACAAGTTTGAACACCTGCTAGCCTTGCCTGCCTCTCTCTTGGAAAGGGAACAGCTGAAGGTGCCAACCATTCAAGCCATCAGCTTTGGGACTTACTCCCATTTATAAAATGGGGAAGCAAGCATGAATAGAATATAAGGTGTTCCAGGCTAAAAGTCTGCAGGATTTCCTAAGAACTGTGCTATTGCCATATTGCTTCTCGGTTCATACCCTGCACCTCTAAATGCTTAGAATTTTCCAACTTTGAAATAAGAAATTAGTAATATACCAATGAGCTGACAAGCTCTGGCAGCTGTATGCACAGGGCCTGCCAGCAGGTCAATGGGATATTGCCAGAGAAGCTGAATTCCAGATGAGAGGGTGGAAAAGGAGAAAGGATTGTTTTTTCTGAGCTCTGATTCTTTTACACTAACTTCAAAGGAAAGCAAATTTTAACTTGCATATGGGTGAATGCACTGGATAAATAGTAGTATGGCAACCCGAAATGTCATCTGTCTAGAAAAGAATAACCCTCAAAATTACTGATGACAGTGGATACACTTTCTTCAGCCAGCAGCATCCTGCCCTTTTCTCACTCAGGCAGATTATGACAGCCGTGGCTCTGGTATGGCCCCTGAATGAATGAACATCACTTTAATGGACTGCCTGCGGTGGACAGCCAGCACAGATTTGCACTTCCAAGCACAGCAGGTAGTGAACTCTAGAGGAACATTTCACACTGGCCATTAAGCATCCAGCATGACCACAAAACTGAGGTGACACAAGGAGAGAGCAATTCCCTGGGCATAGGGATCATGTTTTGCAGCCAGCTGCAGATAAAATAACCAGCTTCTGCTGTAACCTGCTATTATCTGTGGGATGCTAAAAAATCCTCTCCCTGGGATTTTAAGTTTCTCTCTGTATGACTGTAGTTAATGACTGGACTGCATGGGGTGTTTGTTATTTAGTGACTGAATAACCCTACTGCTGACAAGTTGTGGTTGTTAGTTTGGTTTGGGGTTTTTGTTTTTTTTTTTTCTAATTTAAAGCATAGTTACTCTAGAACTGTATAGAACATGTTTTTTTAATTGAACTTTCTTCCAGGCTTATGCAACTTTCTGAAGCTATTTAATGTAGTCCTGTGAATCTATGGCAGAAATTATCCATAATCCATTAACCAGGCAGAAATAAACAAAACCAATTATTTTATACCATCCCTAAACCAACGTTTTCCTCTACATAAATGTTGCTGTTATTTACTGTTGGCCAATTAAACAGAGGTTTGTATGCATCCAAAAGTTCATTCAATGTAAAGTTTTAAGATGTTTGATGCCTGCTTACACTGAAATGTACGTAATAATGTCTGTGCCTCCAATGAAAATAAAAATTAAATTTTCTATGTTTAATGGCCTCTTGTGGTCTTAGTCCAGGAAGACTACTAATTATAAGGGATGAAAATACCAGGTAAAATCAAAATTAATTTTTAAAACTAGAAGTAACTTATAATTCAAATAATTGATGATGAATCTTCATATTAAAAAGCTATAAGCCATAAAATAGAGTGCATAATGAAAAATGGCACATTCCATTGCCTTGTGCGATGGAACAGCTTCTTGCCTTGAGAATGAGCTTCACATAAATTTTAAGGTGAACTTCAGCTTTAATACTGCATAAGATATCTTGGATTGCAAAATAGAAAGCCTCAGCTAAACAGGCTTGAGCAGCTCATCTCAACAATTGCTGGATGGTGCTATTAAATGTATTCTCCTTGTCAGAACAAAGACACATCTATGTTGTCAATCATTAATACTTCATTTCTTGCTCAAAAAGATTTGTTGGTAGAAAGGCTAGTTACTTTAAATTCCCTCCCTGCTTACGATCGCAGATAATGCTTGTGATTGCTGAGACAAATGATGTGAGGTTCTGAAGTGGTGAATTGCTTCAAAAACATTCTTTTTGCTCCTTGGGTTAACGTGTGCTCAATTAAAAAAAAAAAAAAAGGCAAAAAAAACCCACAATGAAACCAAAAAAAAAACACACTGAGGACATGATTTCTTCTAAAAATTATTTAGTAAATGTCTAATGTGTTAGACATCTAACATTTTGCTCTGAGGTTCCCAGCACATGAAGGAGATTGATCTGTTAAAGCATGTCCAGAGGAGGGACACCAAGTATATTAGAGGGATGGAGCACCTCTCCTATAAGGAAAGGCTGAGAGAATTGGGATTTTCCAACCAGGAGAAGAGAAGGCTTCAGGGTGACCTAACTGTGGCCTTCTAGTACCTGGAGGGAACCTAAAGGAAAGATGGAGAGGGACTTTTGACAAGAGCATGTACTGACAGGATGAGGAGGAATGGCTTCAAACTGAGAGTAGGTTTAGAGTAGATCTTAAGAAGAAATTCTTTATTGTGAAACTGAGGAGACACTGAAGCAGATTGCCCGGAGAAGTTGGATGCCTCGTCCCTGGAAGTGTTCGAGCCCAGGTTGGATGAGTAGCCTGCTCTAGTGGAAGGTGCTCCTGTCTGTGGCAGAGGGGCTGGAACTAGATGATCTTTAAGGTCTTTTCCAACCCAAACCATTCTATGGTTCCATGGTTTAAAAATCAACATTTACAACAGTTCATCTGCAGCTATTTCCTCTGTAAGGATTTGAGCCCACTAGTGCTGAAGTAAATTTTTATGCTTGTTACAGCATATAGTGATAACATTCTGAAGGACAGCTGTGACATGGAAGAAATACAGTAGAAAGAGGAGGTGCAGATAGGCTGGGGCAGGCACTGGGGTTGGGCAAACTCTTCAGCACATTATGTCCTGCTCAGACAGTTTTAAGAGAACAGTCTTGGGGAAGCAGTAATGCTGTATGATTGAAGTTCAGTTCAGTATGATTAAGTTCTGTTTTCAGCCATTTCTGAACTCAGGAGGAGAAGCAAACTGAAATCAACAGAAGCATTTCCACAAATTTCAGTGGGTATGTCATTAGTCTGTCAATCTCTAAGCTTCATTTTCCTCACCCTGCATAAGCACTTTGTTGGTTTACCTAGTGCACACGTTGACTGGGAAAGGACTGCTTTGTCATTCATTGCTCATTCAGCAATTAGCATAATGAGTATCAAAATTCTGCTCAGGACTTCATCTATGTGCATATGTATAACAAGTGAAGGAGGTTGCTTTCCATGCAACCAAAGAATCCTGCTGTACTGTGGATTTGTCAGCTCTGGACATGTCTGCAAAAGGCCCTTTGAAATCAATAGAATAGTTTTTTTCACAAACCTGCTTTTAAGATTCTAGGATAGAATGAAATGTTGCCTATTGGAGCTGCTTAAAATCTTACCAAAATAACAAAATACAAGCCTCAGACTAAAATGTCTTTTTTTAAAATCATTATCACTGTAGAAGGGAGTAAAAACTTCTCAAGAGCACATTATTTCTGACACAGAAAGTAGAAGGATTCTGAAAAGGTGTCCTGACCCCACAAGTTTATCCAGAGAAGATGCTGCTACTTTTTCGTATTTAGTGATCACTTGTTTGCTCTTAACTCAGCTCTCGTGCCTTTGGTTTTTATTTGTGCTTTTCTACAAGTCCATTGAGCCTGAAGAGCTTAGGTGAAATTAGGTTCACAGGCTAAGCTGTTTCCATTGCCTAAATTTCTAAACACTTATAAAGGAGTTTGAGGAGAATTATTAAATTATATATATATATATATATATATATATATATATATATATATATACACACACACTGATATTTCCCTAAAGAGAATCAGCTATTTTACCCCACAGTGGTTTCTCTTTACATTCTCTGCCCATCCATGAGTGCTCCTTTTGCACACACACTGGCAGGAGTGTGTATGTTTGCCCATCCAACTGCTGCCTGTCTTTCCAGGCATGGGGCTAAACAGACCCCAAGGAAGACAGAGCATGGAACCTTCTGTAAGCAGTTTCCACAGCATCTTTTTCTACTTGCTTTGTTTCTCTTTGTTTCTTGTATGCAAACATGTGCATGAACTTTTTTTTTTTTTTTTAATGTAATTTGTCCCCTTTTTTTTTCAGTTGACATATTTTCATTTCCATTTGTTCATTTCTGGAACTGTTGTATTTTCAGTTGATTTCATAGGCGGACTTGACACATACTCCTACCGACAGCCCCCCCAGGAACATGTTGAGTTAAAGCCTGTAAAGCCTGTAGGTAAGGTTCTGGTCCCACGGACCACATTCATCCTTCTAACTGAACTGAACTGAAAGCTAACCTTCTCCTGAAATAATTTGGGCATCAGATTACTGATAATTTAATTACATTTTAATTAGAACTTAATTAAAAATTAATCCACATAACACATTGGAGTAAGGACACTTTGTCATTGATGGCGTATCTGCTAAAACGAGGATTAGGAGATATCACCATGTCTGCCACGCCGTGCCTCATCTTAACGCAAGGAGAGGCTCTCACTGAAGGATGGAATTGCCTCCTTGCTGAATTTTCAGCAAGAAAAGAGCTGGTTTAGAGATTCTGCGGCTGCAGAAACCTTAATGAGATTAACCCATTTATAGAAAGGCAATAGTTTTTACATTTGTCCAGCTACTGAAAGAAAAAGTTTTGCTGAAAAACCACTTGTCAGCTTAAAATCTATGTGTAGAATTTCATTGGAAGTTAATTGTCTCTTTGTCATCACTTATTTGCTTGAACCATAAAAATCATTTTCATAGACTCTTCCTGCTTTGCTATCCAATGAATAAGGTCAAATGCATATCTATTCTTTTTATCTGGAAAAAAAATAGGATATGGGGTGACATTACTGCTATCTGTATTTTGCCAGAAGCTCATATAACCTCAGTATACAGCTTTTAAAAGTATAATTCGTAAACCAGAAGTTGTTAATTTGGAATTTTTTTATGGCTGGAAGTAGTGATGTTGCTCTCTGTCTTTAAATTCACCTTTGGGCCTTTCATGCTTCTTAAATGCAGCATGAAATGCACACACAGCTAATTGACTGAAACTGATTTAATGGCTCTATTTTACTTATCAGTTAACAGAATTAGAATGGGTTGAAGGTTTTTCCTGCTGCATGCATTTGTGCATGTGCTAGGAGTTTTAATTTAAAATGGACAATTGCTAAAAAAATGTCTGGGGTTGGAACTTGACACCTGAACTTTGTGACTTTATTAATTTTTGCAGGGTTTTATAATATATTTTATTCATGATGCAGCTTTCAATTTGTAGAAATAAGCAGAGACAAATTTTTACTAAAAATTTATCTAAACATTATAGAATATGAAGGCCCAAATTTATGGTGTGTACTAGAACAGGAGCAAATTACACATTAAGAGAACTAAACAAAATTGTGAACCTTCTGACTTTTGACTAAGTACATTCTACTCTACGTTGAAGTCTACATTTCTTTAGTAAGATTTCATTAAATGTTTATTTTGCTGCATTTTCTATGAGAAAGATGACTGCAAAATGGGGGTTTCAACCTTCTGAATAAGCTGCTACACTACAAAGTTAAATTGATATTCAGGAGCAAGAAAGCCACACCTGCAGCATAAAAGATTTTAATCTCTAAACCTGCATTCACCTTTAAACATCAAGTGCATAAATGTTTAATACTTTCTTAGCAAACCTACTATAATTAATGAAGAAAATAAAAGACACATTCATGAAAAAGCTACAAATACATTTCTGTAAAACATATTCACTTGTTTTCCAGTAGAAAAGTCACAGCATCTGATAATTTGTTCTTGATAAGAGATTTTCAATGAGTAGCTCAAGGGATTTGGAGGTTGTTGGTGATCTTACAATACTGGAGAATGAGAGTTATCTTTCCACTTCCTATGAATGTGCATCCTTGTACTGCTGGGAGGGCCTCTCTGGCCTCTTTATTGCTTCAAGAAGTATAAAAGTGGGACAGAAATTATAGTGGGTTTCCTTTTTTATTGATGTTTTGGTTGTATGTACTGAAAGATATAGAGGACCTTTATCTAAGCTGGGAGGGAAATTATGTCACTGATCAAAGTCTGAGTTAAAAGCCAAATTGCTGGAAATAATTTGGTCAGTGGATTGTGCCAGAACTTTGCAGATGCTTATTTCTCTGCAGCATGTTAGCCTTCTTGACTTCTTTTGATAAGTTAATTGCTGTATGTATCAGTTATATACAGTCTGAAAATTCTTAGTATCTCTAAAAAATGACTTCTGGTGTCTAGGCTGTGCAAAACTCCATTTCTGAGAGTTAGAATTCTCTTAGAAATTCACATGAATAATGCTTGTAAAAATACATGAGAAGCCTTTATAAGTGTTACTTTATAGATGAAAGCTTGGCTATATTTCCATTTTTCTCATCCCTTTTATTTCCCTTATTTCATTCAAAAATTAACTAAACACAGCCCACTGAAAATACAAGGCTGTGTGGTCTCATCCAAGCTATGCAGAGGACAGTCTGCTTTTATCAAGTGCTCACATTCAGCATAATGTCTGCTTAGTGCTACCATAATTATTAATGATTAGCAAGACTAAGATTAGTTTTCCTTCTCACCTCTGAGATGAAGTTAAATTTGAACTTGTTCCTGTGGGGAGCAATTTTTAATCCAAACATGAATGATCATGGCTTGCCTGTTTGTTCTGCCTGTAACTCCATTTGGCTTTGGGACAAGGAGAAGCAGGATCTTTGCCCTCAGCCATGCAGTTTCAATTAAGGTGTGTGTAAGGCAGGAGACAACAGGGGGAGAAGAAAAAATATCATTGTGTTGTGTCCTTTGGGACTAAAGCATATGGACTATGGAGAAGACTGTTGTGCCTGTTGGAATCACAGAATCAGGAGCCAGGTTGCTCAGTAATATTTAGAAACTCCTCATGTACTGATGTGTGGAAAAAAGAGGAGCATGGTGGCTAGCAGGAAAAAACATGAAGCTACATTTTGGCTTGCATTAGAGGTTATTATTAATAATAATAATTATTATTATATTATAATAGATGTTAATAAGGTAATATCATAATCATTATGTAATAAGAACAATGTGTACTAATATAGTAATGAAAAATTTAATTATAATTGTAATAGTAGTAATAATAATGAAATAAAAAAAACTGCGACAGCTTTGAGCAACTCTATTTGGTCAGACACTGAATCCCTAATTCCAGTTAGGGATGTCCCTAGTCTTTTTAGGAACAATACTAATTTGTTTTTAAGAACAATACTAATTTGTCCTTGTGGAGTTGATCCACTGTATGAGAAACAGTGCCAGTGGAGAGGTCACTACTCTGTGATGCATCTGTGTGATCCTGTCCTGTTTGTATCTTCTCCTGAGACTTCATCCACCTATAAATTGCTCTGAAAGACGAACATAGATTTTCCAAGATTACACAAGTGAAAATGGTTACAGGGAGTCATGTGAGAATACATAGGTTCAGCAGATGTGTCACTGTGGTGAGGACTATAAATAGCGTGAGTCCTGCTCAAATGCTCATGTTTGTGATCAGATCACATCAGAATTCTGTAACTGGGTGAAAATATGTGTCTCATGCTGTTGAAATATATTATGCTAAAATGAATAGTGTGTATATATATATATATATATATATATATAGTATCATATATACATAACATATCATATATAATGTATATCAATATAGTATATTGTATGACCTTCAGATATGCTTTACCAGCTATGGGACTTCTCCCAAATGTTTTTTTGCTTTTGTGCTATGCATAATACAAAGCTACTGCTTTGTATCCAGCCATTCACTCTTGATCACATAGGTGAGTCTCACAGCTGATGAAATTATGGACCACGTGAGATTTATCCACTTGTTCATTTGTTACTAACCTCTCAACTTGTATGAATTTGCAGCTTATAAATTAGAAGATACACAAAATAAATTTTCATTTGTGAGTAATTCTTTTATCCTTCTCTTTAGGTCGAAGTAAGTAATGAACATGGACTCAAGACTTCTGCTGCTGTAGCTGAAGAAACAGATTTTAGAAAAAAAGACCAACCTTGTGAATCATCATTCAGGAAGAAACCCACCACATCTGCTCCTCACAGCATGTGGATTGTTCTTCCCACAGGCTCAGTGTCATTATCAGCGTTGTTATTTCGTAGATCCTTGTAGATGATCTTGAATTTTTAAATAATTTACTTATATGGACACTTGTAAATTGTAAATTTTTTTCTTTTTTAATTTCAGTATTTTTACAATGTTTAGTGTTGAGGCATGAAAACAAAACAACCTGTGAAAACTAGGAGGGGGGTGCGTCCTTCTCAAAAGTTCAGTATTTTTTGACTGAGAGGATCATACTGTGCCTGGTCAAGATTGTGTCAGTAAACAGTAATTTTGACTCCAAAATATGCAGCAGGAGTCAAACTCTAACAGTGATCAAGAGATCATTTCAGTGCTGTCTTTAGAATTCACAATGTCCGCTCCTTGCATTTTTGAACTGCTGAATGCAGCAGGGATTGATGTATGACTCTTCTTACCCAGATGTTCAAGCACTAATGTACTCACCTAATTATTACAATTCATTTATGACTCTTCCTTTCCTAATCTCTTTTGCCCCATCTCGAGTAGCTGTCTCTGATTTGAAGAGAAGTAGTGACTGCTCAATGGATGTCCTTCTCTAGGAACCCTTACACCCAGGGCTGTTTAGATGTCTGTGATTTGCACATTTTTAAAAACTCCTTTCCTCCCTTCTCCCAGGAAGAAGCCAAGCATGAATGTACAGTAAAAGGCACCAACTGAAGCCTTAGAAGCCTCTGGGGACTAATTTTCTCTTAATTTAAAAGTAAACAAGCAAAAGTGAAAAATGCCTGTAAAAATTTGTAAAGTTATTTGTAAATACTTCTAGACAAAGAACATGTATGTAACTGTGGTATTTTGTTTTCTATTCTGTCACCACTAGCATAAAGTGATACACAAAGCTATTTTCTCTGGAGAGCTGGCAGTCTTTTTAACAGAACACTTTTCTTCTTTCATCTTAATTACAGTATAAAGTGCTGTGTAGATTTCTATGCCCCAGAGAGTCTTGTCTCTCTACAGAGCCTGTGTGCCTCAACATTGAGCAGAAACATCAGGAGGGTTTTGAGTCTGTTTGTGGTTTTGTGCTTTTCTCACTTAAACATTTCATAGATGGGACAGCCAAGAAGGCTGGTCCTTCTGATGTGTATTTCTCTACCTCAGCATCAGAGGCAGAACAGATGCCCACAAAATTCCTCCGTAGATACCCTAAGAAATCTTCATCTGATCTAAACAAAATTCTGAATCTAAAGGTCCTGAATTTTCAGTCTTCTCTTCTATCGTGTATTTTTCCTCCCTGAGCAGGAGGGAGCTATAAGAGAGCATGTCTTGATTCTTTCCCTCCTCAAATCAGTGTAATTTACCAATATGAAGCTATTGGGGGTGCTAATAAATACAGTAGAAGTAGAGTCTATTATTTTCAGGTGACAAGGGTCTTGTGGTACATCCCCCTGCTTTCCAGCTGGTTAACTTAAAGACCTCACCGACTCTGGAGAAAACACAAGCTGAACTTTGGTTAACTTTCCCTGAAACTGAGTATGATGAAAGTAGTAAGACAAAGTCAACAAGAAATGGCAACTGGAGAAAAACCCTTCTTTAGTGTTCCTTGGGCTGGATATACCTCAAGTAAAAGCCTTCAGCTGAACCCAGTGCTGCCCTCAGGACGAGATGGGAAGAACAGGAATGAATGCTATAAACCCCCATTGATGGCACAGGCTCAACACACATTCTGGCAGGGGTTTGTAAGTGTGTGTTTGATTTTCTGCCAAGGCATGTCCGCTGGACCATGTTCTACAGATTTGCCTGAATATGTCTAAAACCTGTCTTTCTGTAGGTCCTTCAGTACTATCACAAAAATTCTGCAAAGACAGAACCTGAGTTCTCCTCTATTTGAAATATCTATCACTTTTCAGCAAGGGAACAAAGCCAGTACATTCCAAATACACTTAAAATCTCAGAATCATTACCAATACAGTGAGTGTGCCATCTGTCTCACTTAACAAACAGAACAATCCTGACTGAGAAGAATTTGTCTTCATTAGGACCAGCCAAAATGCAGACTGAAATGCCAAAGGAAATTGTCATTCTTTTCTAAACTAAGACACTCAAAATAATATCAATCAACCTGTACATGTTGGGGTAAAAAATCTTGAGAATAATAAATGCATTTGACTGTTAATTGCTGTGTCCTGAAATATAGTAGGACATATTGATGAACATTTTTGTAGGAAGCCTTGAGTAGTTCCTTTATTTTTGCAAAACATACTCTCAGTGAGGTGTTAGGTGAGTCCCAGATCAGCCAGCTATGTAGGAAATAAATGTTGACTCTCTAAATAAACTTGGATAGTTTTCTTAAGCTTAACTGAACCATGCAATTTCAGGAAATGACTAGGTTTGTACTGCAAAACAGAATTTGCTGACAATCTTAAAATCTTGGAGATTATCAGTTGCTACAAACTGTTCTGGTGGCATTAATGAGTCATACGGTTACACTTTAGGGCAGCTGAAGATCTGTCCTTCAAACTTTTAGACTTTTTTTCTTTTCCCAAGTTTCTGTTTAATTCCAGTTTTTTAGAGAATCAGATTTGCCAGAGTACTTTATCTGACAGTAAAAGTGGGGATGAGACTACAGAAATGTGGCACTACATGTTCACTAAGGACTGAGCCAGGAAACTGAACCAGTTTCTTAAAAGAGTGGCTGATGTCTTGAGGATCTGAAAACAAAAACTGTAGCAAGAAATTAACAGATTTTTGCCTGGTGCAGTGACAGACATACCATGATTCTATATTACAATTTGTGGAATTATTGGTTAGACTCTTTCATACCCATAGAGATTTTTTTACATAAAATTTGAAGGTTTTTGAAATTCAATTTTGATCTGAAGGAACTGTCTAAAATGAAAGACTTTACAGCTTGGATTGGCTGAAGGGTGTTTTTTTAGTGCTAAGGTATGATATTATAGATTATTTATATTGTTATAAGATACAATATTATCTATTATAGATAATATTCAATAGAGCTCTCTCAATTAAACCCATGGGAATTGATGCCTGGTTTTGTCCAATAACTGCTTTCAGAAGTGCAGGTGGCATTGTCCAGGAAAGGGCAACAAAGCTGGTGAGAGGTCTGGAGCACAAGTCTTTGAGGAGCATCCGAGGGAGCTGGGGTTGTTTAGGTGGAAGAAAAGGAGTCTCAGGGGTGATCTTATGACTCTCCATAACTCCCTGAAAGGAGGCAGTAGCCAAGGGGGTTCAGCCTCTTCTTCTAGGCAGCTAGAGGTGGGATGAGAGGATATAGTCTTAAACTGCACCAGGGGAGGTTTAGGCTGGACATCAGGAATAATTCCCTTACAGAAAGAGGGATAAGACATTGGAATGAGCTGGCCAGGGAGGTGGTGGAGTCACCGTCCATGGAAGTGTTTGAGGAAGGGCTGCATGTGGCACTCAATGCCTTGCGCTAGTTCGCATGAAGGTGTTTGGTCACATTTGGACTCAATGATCTCAGAGGTCTGTTCCAACCTATTTGATTCTGTGTTTAGGACAATGGTATTTACTGTATATTATAAATTGGAATTTGAAGCTAGGGTATCTGGTTGCTGGTTAGCACGAGACAATACTAAATTTTCTTATTTAAAACCTGAGAACGCGTAGTTAGGTCACTAAAAACCTGTAGTTCTGCACCAAATAAATTGCAGATTTAAGCCCAAACAACTTAAAGTGCAGGCTTTCTTCATTCACAGCTGCCATGCAGCCGTCTTCTCCATGTTTGGATCCTGAGTTTCATCTCTTCCTCCAGTTTTCCACAGCTCAGGCATTGCAACCCCACCATCACCTCCAATGTTGCCAGATGCAACCTTTTTCTCAACACTGACTGCAACGTGCCTCTCTGCACCCAGCTGCCTGCCTGTCTTTCATGTGGGGATTAGCAGGTTGAAAAGGCCAACCCAGCAATCTATCAAGGTCCTTTAACAGACTTTGACAGTGGAAAACAAAAATTGACATCCCAAACTAATTGGCTTGCCTCCTTCCAGTATCAGCCTCATCTGGTTTAATTATAACAAATTACAACCTGGCATCTCTTTTGGACAAAAAAATTTCAGGTTGGGAAAATGTTCCTTCCATGTTATAGCTTCGATATCAGCAGGATGTTTTTCACAAATCAGTTCATCTCTTGCCTGCTATTCTGGGCGTTTTGACAGAAACCTTCTTAGCGCCCAGCACAGTGATGGGGTTATGTTGTTGCATGCCACAATAGCACTTTTACAGGCAGAGTGGCTGGGTTGCATCCTGAGGTCATGTCAGATGGGTTAGGGCTGCATAAGGTGGAGGGTGCCCTCAACACTGCTGCCCTAAAGAAGTGGTCTCTCTCCTAACTCTGCCCAGGGAGATGACTATCCCTGCAGCCGTAACTGGGGATCAGCCTGAAAGGTTTGTAAGTTTGCAGAGGCTTCTTCAGCAAACTAACACATGTGTTATAGATGATAGGGAATTCAGATCTGTGAAAATTTGCCTATAAAGAAGATGTTTTATATCAAGACTACTGCTGCAGTGTTTGCCTCGTAGAAGTTTGTCTGCATTGCATGCTGGCAGTGTGATCCCAGCAGGTCAGCTCTGATCACCCAGCATTACCAGCAGCACTCTGCTTTACTTTAAGGGCACACAAGGCTGTTCAGGACCCTAAATAATTATTTAGCAGCTAAGGACACAAATCTAGCCTGTACTGCTTGCTGTTTGACAGCTACATATAAGTTGTGCTGCTTTCCCCAGGCTGACAAACCATCTTTATTTATCTGCTGATAAATGACGATTTCTTGACATAATTTCCATTTTCTTCACAGAATTCATGGTTTGAATTATTCTCTTTGATTTTAAACAAATTAAACATCTGCATTTAATTCCTGCTTCCACATGAGTACCTGCTCATCAGTCACACAACACAGTCCTGGATGTGACAGCTTTGTGGAATAGCTGCCCTTGCATGGTCTGTTGCCTCTCAGAACCAGCAGCAGACTCTGAAGATAGTCTCAGTAAGCAGCAGCCATGCATAAATAATCCCAGGAATGCAAGGAACGTTCTCTTTGTTTTGTTTATTCCCCTAAGACCCAATATCACTTCTTCAAGCTTTCCGTCCCAGTTTCCTATTTATTTCACACCACCCAAATGCAACCATGCTTCCAAAACACTCCTGTAAGTCAGTTCCAAGCAGACTTGATGAAGCTTGAATTTTAAGTTGGCTGCATGTGATTCATGAGTAATCTAATTCCTCATTTTCCACAACATTGGGTACCTGCCCAATTAGTAGAGCATCATGTACAAGGAGGGGTTACAGCATCCCCTAGCACATGATGCATTTGGAATAAGAACTCTGCTACACATGAGCAAATGAATCAGCTTCCCATGCTGGCCCATACTATTCACAAAATGTCACTGGGATGTTCTTATACTGCTGTCTCTGCATAGCCAGAACCAGGGTGGCAAGTAGGTTGAGTCCCAAGTGCTGGGGCAAATGCTTGTTTAAACAACCTTGATCTCATATTTATAATCCACACTGCAATTACTGGGTTTTCTCTTGGCAACACACACACACACACACATGTATTTTAATAGTCACGGTTTGGTTTCTAAAGATGTTTTTATTCAAATAAATCTTTTTTTCCTGAAGTTTAGAGGAGGATGTATCTAGGCTGCTGCAGGAAGTTTTCCTCCAAGCATTGGGGGGTTTGGAGAATAACACCAGTGGAGATCATTGCCCACCCATGGAAGCACCACCAGGACCCATCCTGGTGCCACTGGCTGGCATCTCTGGAGGACACCCAAGCTGTGACTGTCACAGCAGGTCTCCTCCCTGGGCTCTGCACCCTCAGCAGCCTCCTGAGGAATATCCTTGGGAAACCTCATGGGACACTTCTCCTGCTGCGCTCTGGGGCTGCCTTTAAGCCTTGGTCCTGGGCTGTGGTGCTCACCTGTGCTGTGCTGTGGTTGTGTCTGTGCCAGGCCGGTGGCCTCCCCTGACCCCAACAAAATACAAAAAGCTGATCTCAAGAAATGAGTCCTGATGTGCTTTTGATGATGAAATATTAAATTCATGCCCTCTGATAAAGATCTTATCTAAATTAGGACTTCACCTAAGGTAAGCTGTGTGCCTGGGGAAATACTAAACAGGTGTATATTTATCAGATGTATAATATGTATCTGATTTTAAAGGCACTTCTATTAATCTGCCTAGCTAGTAAGAAACTAGGCTTGTGGCTAGTTTAATTTCATCAAACCTATTTCACATCACAATAATCTGAAAGGAAAAATCAGGCCTGGACAGGCAAGCACTAAAAAAGAGATTTGGGGAAAGAAGGAAATCAGACTTAGAAAAAGCAGCACACTAAAAACAGAACTCTGTAGTTGAAAGCAAGCAAAACAAAAAACAAAATGGGAAAAGAACAATGGTCTTTATTTTTAACACCACCCTGTAGCAGAATGTTCAAAGTTATTATTTATTAGAATGAAAAGCACCACAAAATACAAGCACACAAATATGTATCTCTGTCATTGCTTTTCTAATAGAGTAGTGTTTCTAAAAGCTCAACTAATTTTACAGCCTGTCTTTCCCCATTAAAACCTAATATGCCAAGAAATATGATGTACAAAGAAATATTAAAAGGAAGGCTTGGCTGGTGTTCTGCTGAGCACGTTATGCCACCTCATGGTTACTGGCAGAAATACCACCACACTCAGTGCTGGGTCAGAAATGCAGCAGAGGTAAAAAAGTAGCACATCTGAGTTATTGGTATTTATTGCTGAAGTGTCAGAAGTCTCACTGGGATCAATCATTGCAGAGTGCTAAATCAAACCTTTGAATTATATATAAAGACAAAGCGCTGTAAAACGCATCTCCTTTGAACAATTGAATTTGCACCTTTACTGCAAATACACTGCTGCCATAACATATAATTCAATATTGACCTGGTCCTAACCCATAAATGCCTCCTCCTGTGGAGGTTCTTTGTTTAGCTTGTTTCAGAAAGTTGCCATTATCTGGAAGAACACACTGTTTTCCACTCAGGAAGTATCTCTTTGCCTCTTTAACAACAAGACATAAGGCTTAGTTACAACTGGATAACTAAGATGAAATTACAGTCTTGGATATAGCACACATTTAATTACTGAATTTGAATTTTACCATGACCTTAAAGTGCTAAGATAAAAAACACCCAGAACCTCAGTAGAATATGATTTTCACTTGAGTCAAGAGTTCACAAGCAAAGACCAGGTTACATTTTTCCATTAGAATAAATTATACAAAGTGGAAATGGGAGCTGAATTGATGTGACCTGGAGTGCATAGACAGTTAGGTGATGGCCAGACTCTTAGTAGCACTAAAGTCACTTTGGAGAAAATGTTTGTTAAAATCAATGGGTTAGACTCAGATAGCTCATGCATGAATAGAAATAATCTTACTTAAGCTTGGGCATTTCTTTATGCAAAATATTGAAGTTTAGCAGTCCAGTGGCCTAACATTAGCAAAGGAGCAGGAGGAGAGGAGCTGTGTCTCTCTTGCTCTCAAATGAGGTTTGTGATAATCAAGCTCTTAATTTGGGCATCTCAGTCCAACCCAAAATCAGAGGAATGTGAAACAAATGTACTTCCCAATCCTATGATTTTACTTCCCTGGTCTTTCAATTAAACATACTTGGCTGCAGAAAATTCAGAGTATGGTCAGCTTCTGAGCATCTGAGGAAATGGAGATAAAAACATATTTAAAGAAAAAATTATTAGTTAGTCATAGGCACATGGCATCATGGGAAGTAGAAATGAGACATGAAAAGGTCAGGTCTTCAGAGCTTTTTCTATGGCTTGGTTAACTCACAAACAAGATGACCTATCCAGGACACATGAGAAATGACTGCATAGTTTAAAACTCCTCTTCAAGAGAGTACCACAGTGTTTAACCCTGAGAGGTAATAGAGAAAACTTACCTTTATTATCTGTCAGCAAGAGATTTATAGGTTAAGTTTTTATAAAAGTTAATGTGAAAGTCTAGCACTGTTTGCATTTGTAATATTCAGATTCTCTTATTAATTTAATTGAAAAAAGGTCTGTGCCCTGTTTTTTGATGCAGCCTCAGAGATAATAAAATACTTTTGATTTATATGTCTAGAAAGGCTATGGATGGATTCTATCCCTCTTGTCCTAGGAATGCACTTCTTGGAGGAATAATCTGCAGCACAAAATTACTGATACATTCAGGGATTGTCCTCATTCCTCTGTCTTGCCAGAAAGTCTGTATTCTTAAAGGATGACTTACTATGCAAATAAATTAAAATGCCAGCCTCATCAGAAAAAGAAAACTAGTTATTTCCTGCTCACAAGTAATTGATAGTTGCAGCAAAACAAAATACTTTAATAAAGTTTTTGTAGTATAGAAATGGTTTTGTTCAAAATTATTGTAAGCTTTTAAACTTACAATGGAGAAGTATCTAATCACCCTGAAACTTCTTTCTAGAAGTTGCTTAAGCAAGGAGATTATGCACAAAGAAAATGCATTACTGGAGTCAGAATTTTTGGAGAGTAAAGAAAGCCATAAATATAATATATATTATATAAATTTTAAAAGCTATAATAAATAAATAAATAGAAAGAATGCTATTAATATAATATATATAATATATAATATGAACCAAAAAAAAGCTAAAAATCCCTTCTTCCCTTATTTG